AAAACCGAACGAAAGGCGTACATTTTTCCTTGACCAGACTTTTTATTTCATTGAATATTTCATTTAAAAAAACTGTCATTATCATATGTATTTTATTTTGTTTGTTGAAAAGTATTTTTTTCGTGATATTGCTTTTCTCGGTCAACATACACATAAAGCAGGATCGTCACTGTCCAAGTCACCCAGAAGATTTGGTACGATATCTATTTTCTACTATTATTCATTTTCTACTACGGTTGGAAGTATGAAAAATATGTTAGTTACTGTTCAGTGTTAAAAAGGGTTCGTTAAACCGTTAAGGCAGTGAAAAATGGTTTTAGTTTAAAGATCATTAACAATTTTTTATACATTAAAATAAAAAAAATAATCAAATAGTGATTTTAATGTTTGTAATGTAAACTGATTTGATGTCATTTAAAACAAAAAAAACAAAAAAAAAAAACAGGGCATCGTCGCAAATGCCTAGTACTGTACCATCGATATTTTGTGTCAGTTTCCATTCAAATGAGTTTTAAAACTAATTCACGTCCTCCTTTCTTAATACTCGAGTTCAATGTTTCTTTTATTTAAAAAAAAAAAAACAAACTTCGCTGACCATTCCAGAAAGTGAAGAAGTTTTATTTAATGGTTTCAATGCAATCTCTTACATTTTTTTTTTACCATATGGTTCTCCTCAGTTATCCATTGTCTAGTTTTGCGATACATTTTTTCCAATTAAATGTTTATCTTGTATTTTTTTTTTTTTTATCCAAAATAGTTTATCACTTTTGAACAAACAATTCTTAAAGAGTATCCCTGCGCAAACAATAAACATTGTGTAAAAAAAGAAAAGAAAAAAAGAAGATTGATATCATTGGGAATCTAAAATAAATTAAAAAAAATAATTGCTAAGGTAGTTAATTCTTTTATTATTTGAGAAGGAATTACTTCCCTTGAGTTCACCTGCGTTCCTTTGCACTATTCTTTATTCTGTGTTTTCGTGTAAAATACTTGATACATTTTAGTACTAAAATGCAAAAAAAAAAATAAATAAATAAATTAAAAACATAAAAATATTTGCAAACGTTTCCAGCGTGTTTTTAAATAGACGAGGTCTGATTAAAAAGTATCAGAACTGTTGCTATGGTAACGGTGCTAAAGCATACAGAGCTTGGCACAGGTTGACCTTGAACTCTGTTACGCATACGCACTGAGTTATAACTTTCTCGGTACACTTGCATTGATATTGGAAGGAAAGTGTGTAGAGTGTGATCGTCTTGCTAAACCACAGAGGTTCCATTAGTTAGCATGGTTTGTGCAACAGTTTTTGGCTAAGGTCTGACAACAATCATATTCCCCAGATTTTGCCTCTTATGACTTCCTCTTCAAAAATCAAATCTACTTGAAAGGATCAAGATGTCAAGGAAATCCAAGAAAATGCAATGAGGCAGCTATCCCAAAAAAGGAGTTCCAAGAATGCTTTCATCAATGGAAATGACACTGGATAAAGTGTATGGCTTCAGAGGGAGACTATTTCAAAGGAGATTAAATGCTGAATTGATCTGTATTGTAGTTTTGTTTTATAGCACCAGTCCCGATGCACCAGACCTTGCGCACATATATATATATACACTAAATAAATATAAATTTCTTCACCATTTCTTTGACATCGAGAACTGTTTTTTTACCACCAGACCAGCACTTACTGTGCGCTATTTTATTTTTGTATGTAACTCCAAAGATTTGCTAAAAAAAAATGATGAAAAAATGCCCAAAGTTTTATCATCAAAATCTTTGTGTTATTATTAAGAGGAAAGACCAAAGAATTTTTATTATGTAATTTTTGATGAATAATAAAATTTTGCAAGAATTGTTTTCATTTTTAAAAAATTTTAATTAGAACAATTTATAAGCTTTTAAAATTCTCTATTAATTTATATCGGTCAAGTGATATTGTTAAATAAAATCTGTATTTACTAATCATAAATGGAAAATCTTACTACAATTTAGCAATACCCCAGTATTTTAAAAAGAATTTTGAATTTTTTTGTGTGTATAAACATGCTGATTTATGTAAATATGAACATCCATACATTATCAGAAAATAAAAACGAAAACTATTGTAAATTTAATATTTACTGGTAATTTTTCTTCAGTAGGTGTCTTCATAAGTAAGACTATAAAGCCAAAGTACCTAAAATTCAATAAAATATTAGATTGCTTAAAATATTTAAAATTACTGATTAGTTATAAAAAAAATTATCTTTAAAAAAAAAACAAGGCATTTACATTGTATTTGTCATGATTTTACTACAAGTATTTCCCCCCTTACATAAATTTTGCAAACATTAGGTTACCAATAGATGTGTCAACACTTCAAAAAAAAAACACCTACCTCCATGTTAAAAAAAATACTTTTCTACAATATTTTAAACTAAAAGTAATATTTGTTTTAATTAAATTCAGATTAATTAAACTTTAAATCAGTTTCACTACAATCTTGACCTCTTCAATCTAGGGTTAACCGTTATCTTTCCTACATAAACTAATGAACTGCAATTACTTTTTCTTACACTCATACAACACCACACAGTAACCCTCTATCTTGAGAGTCTCTTTGGCCTCATATTGGGTGAGCATTAATACAAATACACTTATCAGAAACAACCTACTGAGTAACGAACAGTATGGATTTCATTGCTCTAGGTCCACAGCTGATGGATGTCAATACACACACACAATCAGTAATGCACTCAATAATAAACTCACCATAACTTTGACAAGGTATTGCATAAGGAATTGCTACACAAACTCTCCAGCTATGGCATGCTCTGGTTGAGTCTGAGCTATCATCAAGTCCTTCCTATTCAAAAGGTGCAAAAAGGTTGTCATTAACAGTCAGTTTTCTGCAGCTCATGAGATCAATTCAGGTGTCCACCAAGATTCTGTCTTTGGTCCTACCATCTTTCTGTTTTATATTAACAATCTGTTGTATCTTGTGTTTTCGAGATAACAGAGTGAATTAAATAAGGAAGACAAACTCGTAGGTAAGTAACGAAAAAGAAGGTTTACTACACAAAGGTACACCTAGCAATTGACCTAATGCTAACTCCACTCAACTTTGCTTATTTACATACACGGATAATTCCATTCATTTACGTCCTATATGACACAATCTTCCCAGGAACATTCTCAAATCTTTAGTAAACATCTGTGCAGATGATACCACTGTTCATGGATGCATCTCAAAAAAGCAAGATCATCTGTGCCTTGCAGTTGATCTCTCCTCTGATCTAACTCTCACAGTTCAATATGAAAACAACTGGCTTATAACATTCAATAATTCCAAAGCCAAGCTAGTAACATTTCATCATCACCTAGTAGACTTCATTCTCTCCAGTTATGACAAACTCTCTATGAAGCTCCTTGTTTTGAACATTTCTTGGGACTTAAGTTTACTCCAGATCTAAAGAGGAACTTGTAGAACTTAACTTCTGTATGCCAGTGGATCAAAACCAATTACCATATTACTGTGAGTTAACTGTCCTCATTGGACAACAAATATTAAAACATTTCTACTATATATTTTCATGTGCTAGTTATAGATTTTTCGTGCAAGTTAAACACAATGTAGGCTCCAGACTTAAGTCTTACAATAATTGTTCCTGATTGGTCAATATATCTCAAAGGCATACTAATACCTATACACAAGTGTTTAAACCCAAAAGACCACCAAAATCTTGAAACGTATTCTTGATCTGATCACGTGACTAAAAATTAAATCAATACAATGCACAAGCACATTTCACGAGTTGCATGACAGATAACCAAGGTCCAAACTACGTCTCTTATATTTTTGAAGTTTCAAAGTTTAAATTTCTTAACACGAAACAAACTTCAATTCATTCACTCATCATTCACCACAGAGTGGAAGTTCTAGACCACAGAACCTATCTTCATCCAGAATCTATAAAACATTTTCTTTTACTGGATTTCATTAAACACGAAGGTTAACGTTCTCAACAATAGAATAAATTTTCATCCAGCATTTCATAAAACAATTAATTCATTCTCTGACAAAAAATACGGTCAAAGAAAGACAACTGTGTAAGCAAACTCACAATTCACATTACAGAAATTGTGTTACACAAACTCATATACATGATCCATCACTGTAAGCAATCTGGGATTGCAAAGGAAATATTTGTCGCAGATTACTTCCACAAAGCAGAGAATAAATCACTAAGTTCAGACTCGAACATTGGGGGCAGAAAGAAATGCCAAAAACTCAATTCGCAGGTACTATCTCACAAATCCCAATGCACACAACCCGTCAGAAAAATAACTCACTCTCCAACAAACGTGGTAGCCAAAATACCCAAACTTTTTCCCTCGATTCGAGAACACCAAGTGCTTTTATCGGCCGAGCATTTTTTCCATTTGTTGACAGCTGGGAGAGGACGCTCAATTTTTGCATATCAAAATACATTTATAGCAACACCTGCGATGGACTTGTTTTTTAATTTAAGTATTCCATCATCAGCATATCATGCGGATTATGTGCCGTTTTTTTTTGGTAAGCAATTATTTTTTCACCACATTTTCCATCATTGGATACACGCGCTGTTGCTTTGTTTGACAAAGTCGCTGTTTTCTTTGGTATAAAAGATGTTGGGTGAAAATGGTTGGTTCCTCATGCTGTTCCAGAAAGTACATTCCACTGCTACCTGTTAGAGTTGCCATCCATGCATCATGATATAGAGACAGGCAGAAGGGTGGCAGGAGAGAGTCAGAGTTCTTGTTGGTTGAAGAGAAGAAATTGATCTGTGATTGAAGTAGCAGTCCCATGTGTCACTCACCTACCCCACCAACAAATGAATCTCCGAATAAATGACCAAATTATTGAAACTAGGATTTGTGTTTTAATTTTTGACAAGGATCTCGCTCTTCTTTTCTCTTAGAGAAAAGAAGAGCGAGATCCTTGTCAATGTATGGCGAAGCTTCCCCAGTTTTTGTGCACATTAATGCGAATAAGAAAAGAGGTAACGTGGGCTTATGTGTCTGGTCAGGGAGATAGAGAGAGACATGTATGTCTAGAACAAGTGCAAATGAGCAATCTGTGTTAACAGCAAGAAAGTTTATATCCATCAGAGAGGTTTCGACTTGAAGGCACAGTGTAAATCAGTGTGATTTCTCATCTTCAGCATGGCTGCTTGTTTCTGAGCCTGCCTAACTGCTCAGGCTCATTTTTGTTTCTTCGACATCCACAGAGCCAACCTATGGTTTATACTGCAACTATGCTGAGCAGACTTTAGTTACAGTTCAAGTATGTGCCCAAATCAGAGCTCCATATGGTTTTGACTTCAAAGTTGTCTTTCTCCTAGACTGGTTACCAACCATGGTTAGAGAGTCCAGTCTGCCCTGCTATATAACCCACAGCTGGGGGAAGAGATTGACTCATAACTTCCCCAAAGGTATTCGTGCGAAAGTGAATTTAACAATCTCAACCAGAATTTTAAATCAGCTCTAACCATTATACCACCTGCACACCCAGAAAGATTATATGAAGGAGTCAAAATGTCAAACATTAGTAAGAAAAAAGGGGCACTTCGATGTAGTGTAATGGTTAGCCAGCTTGTCTCACTAGATCAATTATGACTGAATAGCGAGTCCAATCCTCAAATAAGCAGCTCAGTCATTTTTTTCTAGCTTCTTAGTATGTATTTATTTACTCATGTTGAACATGAAACTAATTTTTGACACAAGAAGGCTGAGATTAAAGTTCACTGCAGTGGACTGCCCCACCATGAGACATTGTCTCAAAAATAATCAAAGCCCTCTCCCCTTGGTGTTCCTCTTCACAGGGCACTACAAGCACTGGGCAAAAAACCCCAGTTCCCCTTTTAAATCAAGGGGGGTGTTGTCTGGAGGAGCAGCACACTGGGAGGCAACAGCTGATCTTATACTGACAAGTGCCAGAAATTTAGATACTTAATTAACTCAATAATTAATTAAAAGATTATGTAATATTTTGCAAACCTTTGTTAACAATATACCCCAAAACCAATATACCAAATCCTTAGGTTTAAGGCAACCCTCTAAAATTTCTGTTTTTAATTTATTGGTATGAGGGGAGGTAAAAGTTGGGAATAATAGTATAATTAATTTGGCTTGAAAAGTTACCCTTAAATTGAAGCAGTAAATGAAATAATTGTACTTAAGAAGTTTAATCTATCATTTCAGATATTACCTAGTTTCCAGCAATGCTCTGAAAGTGTTGTGTCATTGATTGCAAAACAAATTACAGAAGCCAACAAGACAAAACTGTGTGTGAGATGAATAAAATATCAGTTTATCATTTTCCAAAAGACAAAGATGAAAGAGAGTGATGGAGAAAATCAGTTCCAAATGCCAATTTGTCAACTACACTGGCCTTCAAATAATGATACCATAGAAGTTCATGGAAAAATGCACCCCCAAAATCTACCATTTGTATGACCAGGTGTGCCAAAGAGTCAAATACCAACACTCTGCTATTCAAAGGGATATCAAAAAAACCTCCAGTACTGCTTGAAATCAAATTGATGAAATGAATTCATTTTTAGAATTAGATAAGATTAATTATACAAATTTGTAAGAAAGTCTAATCAACAACAAAAAATGCCGTGTGTTCAGTTGTAGCATTTTTGGCTGAAAATCTTTTAACTGTTCAGTCAAAAGTTATCAATGGTATCCCTCTGTTGAGAATTTATAAAAATTTGTGGTTTGAAACCTTTCATTATGGAGTTAAGTGTTATATTAGCAGCCTGTCCAAAAACCGTATAAATACAGTTGATACTTGGTCAACATTGAAAGAAATTATCCGATATTTAAATTCTATGGCCTTTGATCACAAGAAGGATATCTTGAGTCAGCACTTTTCAGCAATGGCTCCCAAAATAGTTGGAATGAAAGACAGCTCAGATATAGTAATATGTGCTTTTGAGTACTAGGCAACATCACAGTCATTGTATAATAGATTAAGATGGGATTTTCAATTACCATCATCAGTAACATTAAGAAGGATGATGTCAAAATTTTCAAAACTTAATGAAAAATTTTTTTTGCTATCTGTATTTAATACTCTTAATGCCAGTCAAAAAGGGTGCATAATTCTCCATGATAAAGTATATATCAAGAAAATGTTACTATATCATGGCAAACAACAATTCAGTAACACTATTTACATTATTCGGATTATTGTCCACATCTTTGTCGCTATGTTTATCACAAAGTTTCAGCCATTGTACACGCAGGCCTTCTTCAGGTGGTTGGAAATATAGACAGAAACCATTCAGTAAGTCAGTTGACAATCCATCTTTACTTGCTCAAACAATACTTGGTATAATGTTGATATGTCTTAATGGGGGTCCAAAATTCCTTACAAGATTGATTTCAATTTTTATTTGAACAAATTTAGTTAACAGTTCAGGCCATCACCTCTGTACTAGTTGATGTAAAGGTTATTATATGTGATGGCAACCAAGTAAATCAAGCCTTTTTTTTATTTAAATTATATCCCACACTCCCTGAAAAACTTTGGTTAACTGGAGATAATAAACATTTGTTTTTTGATTAAGTTCCTCTGTTGAAAAATATTTACAATTTGTGGCTTACAGAAAAGACAGAACTAATTTTTGATGATAATGGAGTAAAACAAGTTGCAAAATGAGCAGTTATATCATTTTGAATCTGAAATACTAGTTAAACTTTTGGATTTAAATGAAATTTACATTGCTCCAAAGTCCATAGAAAGACAACTTGCCTCAGAGTGTTTTCAGAAAAAACATATGCACTTCTCACTCAGTCTGGAATAAGTGAATAAGATTGATACTGCCATCTTCATAAAAAAAATTTTGACATGGTGGAAAATTTCAAGACCCTTTAAATTGATAAACTATGAAATGATTCTCTACAAGCTGAAATCAGATCTCCAAATGACATTCAACTTGATTTTATCATTGAGTTTGGTCAAATGGCTCTTAATATGGCTGGCAGTCAAGGTAATCATATTAATTATTATTAATTATCCAAACACACTGCTAATACCATACACCATACTTGCAATGGAATTGTTATTCTATGTCGACACCTTTTAGCTACAAGCCATAAATATGTCCTATTTGGGCAATTTACAACTGATCCATTCGAAAAAGAATTTAGTAAACTTTGTCAAGGATCAGATGGCACCGATTTTATAAATGTCCAACAGTATATTGAAAAAGCTGCATATTAAGCAGACATCTTTACTTTTATATCAAAATGTAAATATTAATGCTTTTGCTGTTAAGCCAGGTCACCAATCTTGTGATTATAAACTTTGTGAGGAAGGTTCAGAAATATTTGACAATCTGGAAAATTTAGAACCATCTCTTTCTGATGAAATAAAAATGGCACTTGTGTACATAGCAGGACATATTACAAGAAATGATAATCAACTCAGTGAATATGAAACTCATTTTTATTATGAACAGTATGGAAAATATACCAATTCAATTGACTGTGGCAAACTAAAGGTTCCTTCTGAGCACACTTGTCAATGGTTATTTTTTTGTTTCATCCTTTTCCCACATAATGATTTATAACACATCTTTTCCTTTATTAAGTAACATTTTTATGCTTATTTCTGAATTTCATTTCATTTTTTCCACCTGGAGAGAAAGCATGCTCATATTTTTGCAAATATAGTTTTGAAATATTTTTGCAAACATTGCACACCCAGATCAGACAAAGAACCAACTTAAAAGGTTTTGAAACTTTCCTAGAATGATTTTGTTTTATCTGTCTATATTCTGAGATGATAAACGTTTCGGCTGATGCCTTCCATCCTTCTTCAGGTACGGCTTGTTTAATACGGAAAACTTTAATGGAAATTTGAACCGGACTCTTTTCTCAATCCCTGGGGGTTGATTGAATAACGGGTTCAATGAGACCTGTAGTGTGAATGTTTCCGTTTCAGCATTATGTGGATCATATCTTTTACCAGAAATTTTAACTACCTTTTTGTTTTGTTTTATCAGTGTCCAAAACAAAAATACATATTTTCATTTATCTATCTTTCAACACATCCTATTATCCTCAGGTATGAGTCAAAATATTATTCTAGATATTTTCAAAATAAGTAACTTAATTTTCTTCCAAAATTTCTGAAAATCATGCATTTTTCAATAAGCCTCCAGTTCTAGCTCTCAGCTGCACTATGAGCAGGAGTCTAATAGAGAATGCCATGAGCTTAAGAAATGTAACCAAATATTACAATAACAACCATAAGCATGAATGCAGGTCAGTATTAAAAGAAGTAAGAGGGTACAAATGAAAAGATTAAAAATTGACAAGGTTCTCTATTTCATTGAAACCAAACAGTGTTTCTGATATGTCTTTTCCTTCTTTCCTCCCAATCAAAACGGAATAGTCCATTATTTATGAGGTATTAGCAGGGTGTAATGTACGTGCCAACAAACTAATTAACTAAAGAACATGCAGAATTATAAATGAGAAAAACCCCATAAATATAGGTAATAATAAATGCATTAGAAATTAATATACTTTTTTTTATTGAATTGATTAACATCATTAACAGGAAGAATGTTTGATGATCAGTAGCAAGGGCATTGCTACTTAGTTGGAAATTGGTGATATTTAGTTGTAAGTCACCACATATTTATTTAAATAAGAAGGTATAATTGAAATGATTTAAAACTGACAAGTTTTCCATTTCATGTAAGCAGACATTCAACACATGACAGCATTATTGCCTCCTCTATCTTCTCTTTATTTTTCTCATTTAAACCAAACTGTGTCTCTGATGTCTTTTCCATGTTTCCTCAATCTAAACTCCATTATTTATGAAATATTGGCATATGTAACATATCTTCAGAGTCATGTAGATAATATTAGACAGATACTAGTTGATGGTACAATACTCACACACACTAAAAAGAACCTTCAACTATTAGAGACCATCTACATTAAAGCAAAGCAATCCACACTCAACAAAATTATATTTCAAACTAGTCACAACACATTACATTGCCTCTAAACACATGGTTCTGTT